AAAAAAGAAAAAAAAGCAGCAATCAGAGTGCATTCACAATTTCACATTCCATATATATTCCTACGAGTGCAATGGATACCAGACTTTCCCAACCATAGCTGGATCTTAAAAGTGCCAGCCTGCCAGCCCCAAAGGTTGATGCACTGCTAAGTCCCTTTACCCAGCATCCAATAAAGGAACCAATTTTTGTTTTTTAATGCACTAAAGCCATGTGTAAATTGTAGTTTTAAAATTGTTAAAAAAAATTATTAATTATTTAAATAATTTAATTCTAATTTTATTTTAATAAATATAAAAAAATTAAAATTTAAATCAAGGACATCCAAATAAATTTCTTATTCTACCTTTCAAGATTAAAAAGAAAATAAGTGATGGTAAAATTTGAGGTCAATAACATTATATAAATCAAAATATTTAAAATATTAAAAAATAAATTTTATATTATTTTATATTATTTTTTTAATTTATAATATCATATACATTAATTAATTTTATAATATAATTTTTATCATATTATTAATTTTAAGTTTTCGTTTTTCCTATCATTATTTTTAAAATATATATATTGGTGTCGTGATGGAACCCGACGTAAGAAAAAGTGCCAGGCTGGCAGTTTTAGAATCCAACGTGAGAATCAGCTGGCTGATTCCGTTGTTCGATAAGCCAATGGACGGCTAAGATTTTCCCATCTAATCCCCAACATTTATGCCACAAATATCTATACTTTCCCTTCCGCCTCTCCCCCCCATCACTGACAAATCCGTACTTAAAAAAAACGCTAAAACACCACCACCACCACCATTACCACCGTGCCTGTGCCGTGTTCTCCTGCTGTTCGGAGAGAAAGTTCTTAGGTTGGACTTAGATCTGACCCGCATTGTCTTGGTTAGTATCTCATCCTTTTTTTCCCCTTTCGAGATTGGGTTTTGGATTTTGAATTTGTGATATTTGGATCTGAATGATTTGATGTTCTGGAGATTTGTTGTTCTGGAGATTTGTTGTTTTCTTCGTAAAATCTGGTGTTCGATGGTGGATTTTTGTCAGGTACAGTTTGGATTTTCTTTTGTTTTGGGGGCGATTTTTTCCTTACTGTTGCGTGATTCTGCTGTTTTGATGCCGGGAATATATTGGCATTTGACGGCAAATTGAGTTGTGGGATAAATTCTTTGTCCAGAAATAAGTTTCGGATACTACATTCTGGGTTATTGTTGTTTGCGATTCACTTTCCCGCATTTTCTGTTTGGTTTCTGAGAAAGGACGTGAAAAGGAAAGGAATTGCATTTTCAATTTTGTTGTTTATGATTTCTAAGAATTATGGGCAGTTTTCTTAACCAGAAAGAAACGATTTGTGTGTTTGAGTGGGTCCCACGCAGTTGCTGTCTTAATCCATGTGTTCAATTCATGCTAAAACGCTTATTTTTTTTTTTCCTCTTAATTCAGACATCTGATATTGTGGATCTCTTAGGTATTTTATACTTTTATGTCATTCTCTTTTCAGAATGAAATATAACAATTCCATCTTCTGCTAAAATTTACAGGTTTTTCCTGTTACATAATCGGCTGTCGACATGGTTGCGCAAGATTTCACCGTTGATTTGAATAAAGCCCTTGTCTTCCAGGTGAAGTTGCGTTGATTATTGCTAGTATATTTTTGCTGTTGACTTTCCTCACCGTGATTGATGCTTGATTATCTTCTTCAGCTCTATATGTTTTAAAAGCCCAAATGCTGTTTGATTGTGACTCTAATTAAATCCTTGTTATAAAGCACTTTTGAAGACTGGATAACGGGTTATTTAATAGACACTTCTAAAGCAAGTTGGATTTTTTAAAATTGCTTTCTAATGTCCATACTCACCTATGCATAATAGGGGCTAGATATCATTAACTATAGGTGTATTATTCAATCTGGATTGTTTTTTAATCAATTACCATAAAGTTGGATGAGAACAATTATTTCTGAATGAAAACAGCTTGTGGATCCTATGGCTCCTGTAATTTTTCATTTACATTTTGGCTCGCTTTCTTGTTGTTGCTTATTTTGTATCCATTTTTCTTGTCTTTCCATTTCATCTTATCAACTTAGCTTTGTGCTACTAAGTATTGACGTTGCCTAAAAACTATTTTCAATTGACATAAGCTGTTTAACACAAAAGGATCTAGGATTCTCCAGAATGATAATTTGATGGAAGTGGGGATTACAGAATATTGCTGATAGGGAAAAAAATTACTGATATTGACTTTTTGACGGGCATTCTATCACAGGTTGGTCATCTTGGAGAATCTTATCAAGAGTGGGTTCACCAGCCTATTGTCAGCAAAGAAGGTCCTCGGTTTTTTGAGAGTGATTTTTGGGAGGTATTACCAAAATAGCTTGGCATTATTACAAAATGCATGCATGTAGATGTTGAAGTTTTTCATTGAAGTAATAACTCAACTAATCATATGAGCAAAGGTTGCTGTACCATTGACCCTTTTTTTTAACAGTTTTTGACGCGTACAGTCTGGTGGGCAATCCCGGCCATATGGCTGCCAGTTGTATGCTGGTGCATTTCCATGTCTGTACGGATGGGTCATACACTTCCCCAAATAGCTTTAATGGTGGTGTTTGGCATTTTTGTTTGGACCTTGCTGGAATACACTTTGCATCGCTTCCTTTTTCACATTGAAACAAAGAGTTATTGGTGAGTGCTCTCTCTCTCTCACTCTTGTAAAAATTGACATGTCTGGTTGGCACATGAAATTTGATTGTGTGCAATCAATTTGCATTTGCACTCAAACAATGTTGGAAGAATGTACTCATTTGTTAAGGACATTACTATAGGGGAAACACCATCCACTATCTTCTTCATGGCTGCCACCATAAGCACCCAATGGATGGTCTTCGGCTTGTCTTTCCTCCTGCTGCAACAGCTGTTCTATGCATTCCGGTTTGTATATTCTGTTTTTTTTTGTGGTTGCTTCATAAATTACATCTTTGAATGGTTAGGTATTGATTTGATTAATGTACTCCTAGCATTTTTCTAATGGTTAAACTAGTTGCACTAAGATAATCATCCCAATTTTCTGGACTGTTTCAATGCATTTACACATTAAAAATGGTCTAGGACAGGTGGTAAGGGGTTCATTATTAATCATTCATGCATTTATGCACATACGATATTATCAATTCTCAAAAACATGCACTAAAACTAAAATACTGCTTACTCTAGAAGTGAGGATTGGTGCTTGAATGATTTTGCATTTGTAGTTCATGATTTTGCCTTTGTAGTTCCCGATTCTGCCTTACCACTTTCATTGACTGTCATTATCAGTTTTGGAACCTGGTAAAGCTCATAGCCACTCCATCGAGTACACCTGCTTTGTTTGGAGGTGGTTTGCTAGGTTATGTCATGTACGATGTAACCCATTACTACCTGCACCATGGTCAGCCAACAAGTGAAGTGCCCAAAAACCTCAAGGTAAGATGACATGCAGTATAATACTGCCATTCAATTTTCATTTTAGAATTTAGCACACCTATCATTTGAGTCTGAGACTAATATCTGGACAATGTTTCCTGCAGAAATACCACTTGAATCATCACTTCAGGATCCAGAATAAGGGTTTTGGAATTACTTCAGCATTATGGGACAGAGTTTTTGGAACACTTCCAACCACAAAAGCCGCTGAGAAGAGTAGATAATTTAGTTGGAGATCGATGAATAAGTATTAATTGGTTCCTAGTGTGATTATTAAACATATTCTTTTAGTGATTCTTTCTTCGGTTTCTGTTTTCCGTATGCTGCTTGAGACGATGTTATGTCGGTAGCATGTCATGGATGGTCTCTCTTCAAATTCAATAGTTTTGTGTAAATGATATTATGTTCCCATATCTATTGCCATTTTATGAAGGAAATGTTCCCCATCTAATAAGCTGTGGATGACGTTTCCCCATTTTTAATCCCTTGAACCTGGAACTGGAATGATCTCTCTCGACGGGACAGCAAATTGGCATG